TCACTTGACGTATAATCGGGAATGACGTAACTCGAAACGACGTAAGTCAAGGTATACCTGTATTTGTATTTCTCAAATTCTCAACTGTATACCTACTTTTGCACTCCCCTGTATATATATATAATATATTCAGTCAGTTTGGATTTCTTGAAGTGTTAAGATTTCAATGTATAAACCATGCATTTGATTGACTGGTTAAAACAAAGCACAAACACATTAAGACTATCCGTAATTATACAATGCAATCATAAAATCTCGCAGTGGGCCACACCCATGTGGCTTGGCCGAGTGGTGACATCATAACATACTTTAACCCTTGACGCACAGTCTGCCTGTGACATAATTATTTTGCTGTTGAAAGCTCTTTCCATTTCCCCACCCACTGCAGAGGGACTTTATCGTTGCACCATATAACTACAGATGTGTGTAACCCATCAGCTTGAGTACTGTACAAGTTAAAACATCTCTACTATTTGCAATAGACCTCCACCCAGATCTCCACGATGAGATTATCTTTCATTTAGCAACTGCATATACTGCCAACATGCAAAATGAGCTACAAGAAGAGATGAGATATGAAGAAATTCAAGCAACCTTGACAAGACTCGAACTTCAATCTTTTATTGTGATAGAATCCTTTCCCGCATGATCATTTGGCTAAGAATTCTTTAAATGCAATATTGAATAACTACTTTGACTCTCAATGTAACAACTGACATTCTGCAACTATATTTTGTACAGCAAATCATATAATTATCAGCAAAAACTGAATAATCATTGCTACAGTTTACATTGTAATAAGCACAATGTTTGGATCAGATTGATACAAAGCAACACGTGTGTCGTCCAAGAGGATGCCTCCCAGGATGACTTTCTATAGGAAAAATGGACCCTATTTAGGTGTTAGACACACAAAGAAAATCCAGAATAACTCTTAATGCCATAATTAACATCAGCTACGCCACAATACATCTAATCAATCTATATTTAATATATTGATCAATTAATTAGAGAAACTGAGACATCTAAATTTTAAGGCCAAATGTCCAGCTACAACGATGTCTATTTACAAGCAAGTTTGATCCATAATGGAGTCAGTCATTGTGGATTAAGTGCAAAGAACAATACTCTGACTCACAATAAATTGATACAGTCCAAAATCACATTTGAACCTAGACAACAGGTCGGCACCTTACTGCGTAACAATTTGGCTGATGCATTAACTCAAACATATAGATTAATAATACAGATGATGTTTAACAGAACTGAAATTTTCATTTTCAAATGCCTATTGTATATACATTGTGCATAGTAAAGTTCTTATACACCCACATAACTGACAAACATAGATAGCTACAGTTACAAACATGATGTATGTGCTACAAGACGAACCACATTACTGTATAATAGCACAATCTCATGATACGCCTTGTTGGAATAATTTGCCACGTCTAATTCTAACATGTGGTTTCATCTCCCATACTCTGCAATGTAATCACATTGCAGAGTCTTTAACACAGTGGGTGTTAAAGACTTTAAAATACACCTTGCATAATTATTTAATAAATTCTGTAATCTGAACGATGGGAAATTACATATATCAGTGTATTACTCACTATATATAAATCATGTTCTACCGTAACAATGTTATATTCTTCATTCTTGGCTTTGACGTCATTACTGGCAATCTCAAATTCATATTTGTCGCCGATGTCCTCTTCCCAAATTGGTTCCTTTTTAATAATAAATGGCATTTCTTCTTTGGAAAAGATAGATTTGTTATCATCTCCACAATCTAAAATATAAAAATTAATTGTTATAATATAGTTGAGCTTGCCTAGAAAAAGTTCGAAACAAATAAAATAATGGTATATCAATACTTCATATCAAATAGGCCTTCATTTATTTACTAATTTAGGATTTTATTTTCTTTCCATATCTAGAAAACTTTCCTGTTTTGGCACAAAGGTGTTACAGAACTCCTCCAACAGTTCACACCCGATCTTAAGCGGTGAAGTTTCACATTTTCTCATTATCCCTTCATCAATAAACTTGATAATCTCTATCTTTGCCTCTAAGAACACTGTCCAAATGACAATGATGTTTTTATGACATACATCAATGTATGTTGTCATAAAAACACCGATTACAACACACCAGCAATTTTCAACTGGGATGCCACGACATAAAATATTGAATAAATATTAATTTAATTATATTTATTAAATTTAATAAGAGCTGGTGCCTAACACCTACCTCTAGGCCAAATTACTTTGTACTTAATTATTAATAATACTGGTAATATAGCTCAATTGAATCTAGGAATCGTTTGGCTTGAATGTAACTATTGGGCTTAGCATTGTTTATATATGTAAATTACTGTAATTATGCTAATTACAGGGCTGTGGAGTCGGAGTCATGGAGTTTTGGTGTTTTAGCCAGAGTCAGAGTCGAAGTCGGAGTCAGTAGATTTTTACGCGACTCTACAGCCCTGGCAGGGCTGTGGAGTTGGAGTCATAGAGTTTTGGTGTTTTAGCCGGAGTCGGAGTCGAATTGGTAAGGAAAAGTCGGAGTCAGAGTCGGTAGATTTTTACGCGACTCCACAGCCCTGGTTAATTATTACCCAAGAATTATGCAATGTTCACCAATCAACAGAGTAACCATCAGAGTTTCATCTCCCATCTTCATTCAAATGTCTCGTCTACTACCTCTATGAATGTAAACATAAACTAAGCATAAATAAAAATGGTGACTCTGGAACAGAGAAGACATTTTTGTATAGGGAAGTCCACAAAGTAGTATTCTTTTTGAAGACCTTGTATTTACATGGAACTGAATGCAAATAATATTAATCATAATATTAAAAAATCACTTTCAATCTTAGTAAACAGTAACAAATTCAAATTCGATTAAGTTTGTGGGCTAAAATCAGCAAACTATTTCAAAATTTTTTTTCACTTGACGTAAAGTATCTTACCAAAATTCATTGATGCATTTAGGTACTGCCTTTCCTCTATAAAAGCAGGTAGATTTGCATGACACCACACTTCGGGAACTGCAAATTTGTGCAAGCGCCGCCTTGTAGTGTCCGTAAATGCCTCCATTCTAAAATGATCACTGCACACATATTTCCTCTTTACTAATGCTTCGATTGGCAGATTTCTTAACCACACTTCTAATCTATCATAAAATAAATATTTATTTACATTTATATTTAAAAAAATTATTATATTCATAATATTTAAAAGTACTTTTAAACTTCTTTACTCTAATTTAAAGGGTATTTAATTAATGTATTCATTTAATAATTTCTGTGAATAAATGCTCTTATATTTAATGATGGTGTTAAATAAAGATTCAATTATAAATTAAGTAAATTCAATAAATAGTTTAAATAGAAGCACTTTTTCCATTTTTATTGAAGCTTATTTGGCTTTGCTATAACAAAATGCTTTTAAATACCAAGTTTATTTAATTAATAATGCTGTATTCGTGCTTTTTATACTTGGTTTTCAATATTCAATTCTGTATAATCACTTTATATGAGAGCAGTCTGTAAAATGACTTCCAATTTCATGTGGCGAATAAAGTAGAGGGCGTAACACCACGTTTGTGCAGGTGTTAAGCACGTGTGTCAGTACTTGTCTAGCAGGATGGAGTTAAATTCATGTCACTGTTACTTTCTCAACAACAGCCATTCAAAACGTAAGTTGTAAGTGAGAATTCTACAGGTTAAGAGGTACCTTCATTGACAAAATTTCTCTTAGCTAAGAACTGTAAGACAGTAAAATCCATTCTCAACTTTGCAAAGAGTGTGGGGAGAATGTAATAAGTGAGACAGTGGTGCGGCATGTTCAAAAATGGGTGGACCACTGACGATGATAAAGAAAGAAGTGGTTGACCGACTTTGGTGACCAACAAACCGATACAGAAGATTGACAAAAATGTTCGAGACAATTGCAGATTCACTATTTCAGAAATTTCTGAAGATCTTACACATAGTTTTTCACCAAGTAATCACTGAAATGTTGAGTAATGAAAGTTTTGTGCCAAGTGGGTGCCTAAACTACTTTCAGAAGAACACAAGTAACAACAAATGGTGTTGACATTAACCTCTCTCGAGCATTACGGCGGAGACGATGATGCTTTTCTATTACTTAGTTCTCGTATGTAAATGTATAGACAAAGAAAAATCAGTCAATGGAACAGAGCCATATTCACCCTCCTAAACACCAGTGTCAGCAAACATTGTCTGTCAGAAGAGTCAAGGCAATTGACTTTTCAGACAATAAAAATATTGTTAATGGAATTCATAGAAAAGGAAACCAAAATTGAGAAGTTTATTGTGAAACATTAAAAAAGTTAAGGAGGACTATTCAGAACAAATATCACAGCATGTTGGATTGCAGAGTAGTTTTTGCGCAAGAAAACACCTGACCACATGTTGCCGTGCAATCTCGAATCCTATTGCAATAATTTGATTGGGAATTGTTTGACTAACCTCAATACAGTCTGGATTTGTCATCCAGTGATTACCATCTGTAAATAAAGCACTAAACAAAAAAATTAACATTATATATAAGACTACTGTCAAACTTATACAGAAAGCTAGACTTCACTCCTAATTGTCAGTACATAGTTATGGAATCTTAAGTAACCAAGTAATTGTGCTGATTAAGGGTTTTCTTCTGCTATATTCTTTGTAAGGAACCTAAAGTTTGTCACTCGTTGCGACTCCATGCGAGCAAAACATGTACATGAGACACACTGCAAAAGGTAAATAAACTAAAAGTGCAAGACTGCAATAATGTCGTCACCAGGAAGGATATAAACTCCCTTTTACAGGGTTTATATCCTTCCTGGCGATGACCAGCACCCAACAATGAGTTATAGTGCCAGTTGTAGCTTCACCTCCCTAATATATCAGGGAGGTGAAGCTACAAATGGTGGTAACCAGTGACAAAAAAGGATCGGTACTAGAAGATTTGTTTGTAAGACGAGCAACTCGTCCGTTTGTTGTGGAGATATCTGATATTCCACTACTCGTGTCTTGGGGACTGCTTGTGTACAAGATTTTTTTGTGTATTAGAGTATACAAGGAAACCAAATGAAAACTTTAATTCATAAATAAATTCCAAGGTATAGATTAAAATGGTATAAGACTATACTTATTTTTATTGTAGTTTCCACTTCTTGCAATGCATACCATCCGTTGGTCAAAGTCCATGGATTTCTCCAAAACAGAATTATTTTGATTGATTGTATAGCCATTTGTTCATCACCTTCTGCACCTCTTCATTTAATGTGACAACTCCACCATCCAGTATCTCTTTAAATGGTCTTATGGCAACTTAATAAATTATTTGTTACCTCAGCTGACAACATGCCAGAGTAAACCTGGCAACACATCCAAAAGAAAGGCACTTTGGCATGCATGCTCAATCAAATTAGTCAATGTAAATACACTGTGCAATAAATTCAACATTACATGGAGTCAATTTATATCTAATTTATTATAGAACACTCAATTACCACATGATAATCACTTGGATCAAAATCTAGTGAGTATAGAGGATATAGAACAAACTTCATGACAGTTCTTCCATAGTCACAACTGTAAAATGGGCAATATGTGATCTCAAACTGTCTTGTTTCAGAATCCCACTAAGTTAAACATGGATGATATGGTGTGCTGAACTCAGACTGATGGTCAATAATTCAGTTACTATACCCATAGTAATGTGACAATTTTCCTGTATGATGTATTCAACTTCAGCTAATGACTATGGTGTCACTATTTGATGACATTGCCCAGTTGTGCAGCATCTTCCAACTTTCTAACTTGCTGGAGAAACTTGCATGCACTTCCAAACTGAGCCTTCATTCCACGATGAACTTCTGCTGTTTTCATTCCCTTACTACTAAAGAATTTGATAGCAAAACATTGCTTTTTCATTGTGGGAAGCCCATTTTGGAACTCTGCTGCAATGTCATAAATGTAGCTAGCCACTTGCTGTCACCTATTATGCATTTTTCAAATGTCCTTTAACATCATCACCAATTTGCAAAAAAATTATACGAGTTTTAGAATTTTTACGTACATTTTAAGGTTTGTATTGACTGATCTAAGTATCAAGATATGATCACGTAAGCATATTTTGATATATTATACAATACTTTGCTAAACATTAAGAGATAGAGATTAATATTATTACATTCTGTAATTAAACATTTAATCACTGCTATAATAAATATTTTGTATAAAAAGTTTTTTATTTGGCAAATGATCTCACTGTAAACATATTAGCAAATATAAATGATTTAATTATTTATTTTATTATAGTTAATGATTATTAAAGACTAAATCAATAAAATTAAATATACATTTACGCTTAAATGCAATATTTAGCCTTTTTTGTAGGCAAATTTAGCTTGGTAAAGCACAACAGCAAATCAATCACGTCAAGTTATCAAAATATTTATGTATTTTGATAGCAATCACTTAGGAAAATGCAAAGAAGACTATTAGAAAGTATGAAAGGTTATTATCTATTGCTTTTACAAAATCATATCTTACATGCATGATATAGGCCAGTGATGAACAACTGATGGCCCATATAGCCTGTGAGGTCTGGTATATGGCCCCAAGGCTTTGGCAATGTAATTTTATTTTCTTGTTTTCTGCCTCGCACCATTATGCAATCCTATTTAAGCTGATATTCGCAATGAAAAACATTCAAACTAAACTTGACCAGTAAAAAGATGACAATAAACTGCATATCATTAGCATACAGCAAAACCAGTATAAACTGGAATTGCACAGTACTGAACATTTTTTCTTAGTTTGCCAGGTTTATACAGTAGACCCCCTATAACACTGTAGATAATTCCGTGTTATATAAATTCCATGTTGTACGAGTCACTTAGATTTTACAAATACGTGAGCCACTCACAGTCGGCACACGTATTTGTAAAATCTAAGTGACTCATACAACATGGAATTCGTACAACACGGAATTATCTACAGTTGTATAGGGAGTTTACTGTATTTTGAACAGTGTTTCTAACATTAAAAAATTGCTCTATTCCAAAGAATTTCCAATTCAGGCAGGTTTTGATTTTATTGTTTCATTTTGGACAGATTTTACTGTATATTTTAATAATACAGCTGTACCTAGTGTACTGGTGATTATGGAATATGTTGCTACTTGGCAGGTTTAAGGCCTACCTTTCCATACAAAAAACTACATGCAACCTGTCAGAAGCCTACAAAGTTGTTTTGATCCATATCCAGAAAAAGTGGTTAATCACTGATGTAAGCAATAGCATGAAGATACAAATGCATACAACACCAGTTCATACTTGCCAACCGTTAGTATGGAGAATAGCTGGGATGTTGGTAGAAAAACTCTTGAGAGCATAAAAAGCAAAAAAACTTCTTTATTAATATAGATATTGCATAAGGCTTATATTAAATACCATTAATAAACAAAATTTAATTTTATCTCGGCATATGATATTTTACAAAGCTATTGCCATAAACACTGTCAAGAGTATGGCAAAAAGCTTTATACTTTTTAACATCACAGTTTTAAAAAGATCAAGTACTTTATGGGACACATCATAAATCTAGGTATAGATTTGTGTGTTCCATCTTGATATTCTTGCATGATAAGTGCCTCATACTATATGCATTTGTGCTATGGTTTGCTTTTTTATTGTTACAGTGCACTTATGACAGTTGCTATCAGTCAATTTATTGACATTCATTGAAATTAAGGACAATGATTTTTCTGGTTGTGATTTCTTTCCTATTGTACAGAATATCTTTTTCATTTGCCATACCGCAATGCATGGGAGGCCCTGCAATGCCGTTTAGCAAAACCGTCATCAGCGTATTTTACTATTTTGTAGAGATTACAAATGTTTGTAAAATATCAAAAAAACGCTGCCAGTCAGCACCGAATGCTATGGTAGGCCAGTTGGAATCATCAATAATTCGTGGACATTTTTTAACCAATGTAAAAAAGAAAATGTATTAACAGATGAAAACTTTTACAATATAAAGCATTAGTATTGGCAAATTTACTTAATATGTAAGTGAAATGTGTGAAATGTAATTATCTGCATAAATTTCCTTACTTCCTATTGACAAAAATGTGGTACAACAAATGACATAATGCTTGAAAATCATAATTCAAATCGTAGTATCAAAATGTATTAATTCTATGATCTTTCATTTCAGCTATTCTTCAAAAAGAAAAATGTTAAAATTAACATTTTTGCTGGCTAAAATTTTGCTAATCTTCAATTTCAAATATAAAAATATATTTTAACAAAACACTACTATATTAATCAAATGCCATTTATATACTGTGTTTTGGAGAAACACAATAAATAAATTCCACATCAGTCCAAATATCATTATTACAGTATATAGCCATTAATTAATATGTGAACTCGTTGGTTAAAGGATCCGGAACCAAACAGCCAATGTATAAATGACAAATGACATATTTTTTAAGATTGCTTAATCTCTCAGTAATATATCTCATACATCAATCTTCATCAATCATCTCTTGTACCATAGATACAGTCATAGCATCGGTTTCAAACTAACAGAAAAGCTATCTTCTGCCTTCAAATTACCGTGCTTCTTGCACGATTACTATTGCTCGTACACGTTTGGGTACGTTGCCCGGTTAAGCAGTATTAGTTGATAGAACTGCCACTGATGTCGCCTGCTTCCAATGAAATGAACACATCATTAGTTAACTTATCCAATTGCACCAGTTCTTTTACCTGGTAACATGGCCTTTAAGTTCACCTCAATTTATGATAAATTATGAACAATTTTCAAGCCATAGTTTTATTATTTTATATACATATTTTAAAAATTAATAAATATTTTACAGTTACCATTAAAAAGTAATTTTGGCTATAATTTAATTACAAAATCTATAATATAAATTTTGCACATATATGAAATATGATATAAATAAATAATTTAATGAATTTTTCTTACCTTATAGGATCTTTTGGGAGGCTAAAAAACGAGAGATTACAATTTGCTGTCGTGTTTTCGCAAAACTTCACGTGACATTTCCTCAACGATTTTGACATTTTTCAAAAATACTGACGTCACTCGAACGTAATTCGAATTTACCAATCGTTAAAGACTTTACAACGATACGAAACGGATACTTGACGTATATCGACTGTCGATAAACTCTTAAATACCGCTTCCGAATTGGAGTTAGGACGAACTTCGTTTAGTTTAGATTTTTAAACAAAATTGGCGGACAAAACAAATTATTAGTTACTTAAAGCACTCGTGGTGGCGCCACGCATCGCCATTCCGTTCAATAGTGTCTTACGTTTTCGAATAATTGGTTTCGAAGCGCCCCCACAGATTGCCTTCTTTTTTATAATAAATGTTATATTCATATTTGTAACATTTTATTAATTTAAATAAGTTAAGCAATGTGAAATAATGTCTAATAATAATAATAATTTGTTTTTTAGTTTAAACGTATTAGGAAATATAATGACTAATTTACTAAGAAGACTTATGGCCGAACCCATAATGGGCTTGCTAATAAAAGCAAGCCTATTATGGGTTCGGCCATAGGTCTACAATGGGGCGGTCGAGTGTCGACATATTCGGACGGACCCGCCTTGAAAAATTCTCGGAAATTCGAATCCGGGGTCCTCAGAGCGGTAGGTTGCCACCTTGACCGCTCGGCCATCCAATATAATGACTCAGATTTGACTTTCCATGACTTTCAAATATTCAAGATATGTCTTATATAAATGTATTTAGTATTTAATTAAAGCTATTTTTTAATTGGCAAAGGGAGAAATGATCTACACACTGGCCAGTTACAGAGAGACGATCCTTGCACTTGCCGCCATGGAAGAGGCGATCTTTGCACTCGCCGATATTTAAAGGAAATCCCAGAATAAAGCAATCGAAGCCGATTACTTTTTTCTTGTGTCTTGTTCGTTTTTCGTGCCCATTTTCCGTTAGGTATGAGCAATGTTGCTTGTTTTTTTAGTATTATTTCCTAAATTCTGTTAAGCGCGTTTAGTCGCGTCTGGAAGCAAAGACATCGTCACTTTGATGTCGCTGTATGTCGAAAACGAAGTCATGGATCCCCATTTTTATTACATTTTTGAATCCCTCGTCTCAATTAATGGAAAATAGCAAAATTTTATCAAAATCGATCAATCAAGTTTTGAGAACGAACGCAATTCTCTGTCACATAATATAGGCTTCGATCCAGTTCATTCATTTCTCATTCTGTCCTGTGTAGCTATAAAGCGGCGTTTACATTGTGCAAACTTTTGCTTGCGGGAGTATTTGCATAGTGTAAACAGCTCGGCAAGTACAGTCGACCCCCCTATATCACGGTAGATACGTTCCGTTCTTTATGAATCGATTTCTTGCGAGTCCTTGCCAATCACAGCCCGATACGTGTGAAGTTTACGGACTACAGCTGTTTGAAAGGTTTTCTTCCATAAAATTAATTGATTCTAGACTAATTTGACTCAACATTTCCAAAACACGTATAATTTTTTGGGGAATAATCCATATAAACTACGCTATAAACAAAAAATTGTAGAATTACTTACCGAGTGTGCACCGTTCGACATCGCCATTGCTTAAGCTTGTTTTTGTCACGGAGCAGCACACCAAATGGTGGGCACGATTTCTGATAAGTTATTTTTCTGTGAAAACTTCATTAAACTTTGGAGACATCATTAATAGAAATAATTTTTATGGCCGTTGAATAAGAAATGTTTCTTTCACAAGAAATGTATAAAAGTAGTGCTGTATTAGACTTACGGTACTTAATTTACATACTGTACAGACGATAGTAAACTCAATTTACCTGCCTAAATTCTCCGTAGCGTGGCGCTGGACGGCGGAAAGTAGTTCGGCTGCCCGATGACGTTTAACCGAATTATAGAAGTTTTTTCGCCAGGTTTGTACGGATACCGTCGCAATTTTTTCGCCGTCTTATAGGAATCGTAATTATAGAAACCCGTGTTATAGGGGGTCTACTGTACTCGAAAGTGCTGTTATATAATTACATATGTTAATTAATGATAAATACACATGTAACCTATTACAAAAATGCACACCGAAATAAATTTTTTCAACAATTTGAAGAGGACAGTGCAAACAATTGAAATAAAAGGTGATAATAGTATTTTCAGGAAGTTTTCATCGCTTATATACATTTACAATGTCCGGTAGAAAAGTACCATAAAGTCGCTTCTAATTTTAATTTTATAGGTAAAACTTCTCTTATAAGAGTATCTTGCATTTTCAAATTGGTGTAATTTTTCGAACGTGTTTGCTTTTATGTATAAATGATTAATTAAATACACTGTATTTAATACAGTATTACACTTAAGACACCGCGAAGCTGTTAAGATCATAAACGACGTCAGAAATGCGAGAATACAAATCTTCCTACACTTAAATGGCGGCTAATCGCCTTCCCAAACGACCTTTGACCGACGTTAGAGCCGGGCAACTGAGACACGTGCTCAAGGCTCCCACTCCTAAATGGAGCCCAGCCCTTAATTCTAAAAGTCTTGGAGAATTTTGGTGTTCCCTAAGAGAAGCCTATTCTTGTCTTGTAAAACGAGTTATGGAAACTTTACTCCCATTTGCAACAATATATCTTTGCGAATCGGGATTTTCAACACTTGCAAAGCACGTTGCCTTGTCAAATACCACACCACAATTCGATGCTCTGATTAAAGATAAATTATATTTTTTTATGTCGGTGTAAAGATTGTTGTTTAACTTTTATTATGTGAGACTAATCGGGGGTAGAATGTTTACGAGTTCTTGACTCTCATACCTCTTACTCAAGACCTTGAGGTCCGATCTCTCTTGTCCGAAGGATGGGTTCTGTTGAGCGAAAGGGTTATAAAGTTAAGGATCGTTAAATCCTTTCTCCCGTCAGGATCTGACACCAATCTATTAATTTCTTAGCGGATAGATACGCGTTTAATTGAAAACAAATTATCACGAGCGATCTCGTGGAGGACTTCGGGTTCAATCAAAATTCGTCAACATTATACCCGTTTATTGTTGAACATTTTTACATAGATAATTAATTAAGGAGTCGAGAGTACAATTCCTTTTCGAAATTTTCAATCCGTATAATTCATAAATTCCAATTTGATAGCGGACAAAATATATATTAGTCGCGACCCTAACCGCGAGTTGGAAATATTCGAGAGAGAGCTTACATATCATCGCGGGTAGAATAAATACCTCTAGTTATACAGGATGGGGTTTTCAGGACGATCTTGGAGTCCGAATCCCGGGCTCGTTAAAATAGTTCGTGAGTCGACGTAAGTCCGCAAATCGTAGAATAGTTCTATCGAGGACGGTGGCGACGAGAGGCAGGTAATCCACACACACACACACACACAGTACAGAAAAATAACTTCCCCCCCCTGTGTCGTCATTGCACTTTCCTTTTATACGGGGGCTCTCTTCTCGAGATTTCCCCATGTACGTCACAGATGATGATCTTCTTTGACCAATGGTGGGCGAAGTGACCAAATTATGACACAAAAGTTAACTCATCTTCTACAAGGAAGTATTTTCGTGGGAACGGAGTTTTATGATCGATTTTAATGAGAAAATTTTGTCGGTTGTTACTCTTTTCGAGTTAATCCTAAACTCAGCTTGTTTTGTCAAATAAAGAACACGGTTCGGGTGTACTAATCTTAATTTTGTTAAAATTCTATACAGAGCACTTCGGTACAAACAACTGGTATCCAATTATTATGCCTTTTTGTCCTTTTTAAACACTATTTATAATTTATTTTGTATACTAGTACATTCTATATATTAACAGGACTTATTATACTGGAATTATGGATGCAGGTATTTAGTCTTACAGTTTAAAAATAATTTTCTTTATTAAGTTCACCCGAACACATACACTTCAAGCATGTGTTTCGGACTTTTTCGTCCCTCCTCAGCAGGTCTTTAAACGACACTTTCTATAAATAACAATAATAAAAATATTTTACAGTACAATCAACTAAAACATAGACCTTTCCCGACAATAAATATTTAAAACTCTTTACAACTTCTGTTTTTTCGATCTTCCCTATATTTTGGGTATTTGTATTGGTTTAACATATTTCTTATAAATTAACCTATTATTTTTGCTTTCTATTGTTATGTCTAAATAATTTATACTATTCTTCTGTTCTTTTTCTAATTCAAATTTAATATTCTCTTTTATCTTATTGGTCTTATTTATAATTATATCTTCATTCGTTTTCGTTTTATCAAAAATTATTATGCAATCATCCACATACCTGCTGTAAAATTCAATACCTTCTATATTTTTGATCTTTTCATCTATTTGTATCATTGTTATTTCGGCCAATTTTGGACCTATACATGTACCCATAGGTATTCCTTCTGTTTGGGTGTAGAATTCTTTATCATACTGAAAATAATTTTCGATTTTACAAATACGTGAGCCGTTCACAGCCAGACACACGTATTTCTAAAATCTAAGTGACTCGTACAACATGGAATTCATATAAAACGAAATTATCAACAGTGTTATAGGGGGGACAACTGTATAGAATATACACATTGAATATCAACTTCAATAGAATAAATACAGTTTGATCAGTAATCCAGCATCATTGGAATCTGAAGGGATTAGCGATTTTGCCAGATCGCAAAGTGATTACATCAGAATATACTTAAACTAGTGAATTTCTAATTTTAAATACCTTTCATCTTAACTTTAGAATTGAAAGCAGATCAGTCTCTTAAGAGAAATTTTCTTACAGTCAAACAGGAAAATAAAAAATTTTTTATGCATTTTGTAGACTACCTGCCACTTATCAAAAGTGGAAAAATCCCTAGGTGACCTTTTTTTGATTGAGCCGAGATAGAGGGTTTGAACACTAGTGATATTCTTTGCCTTCTATCTCCAGTGTAAATTATCAGGATAACTTGTAAATTGGTTTGGTGACTCCTATATGTAGGGTACTGATGTTATTGAATTTCACAAAGTATAGGCCAAAAAAATGGAGATCATACTTGATAAATTCTATTGCTGAGGTTTTAGCTTATATAAAAACAATAATTCTGCTCTCAAGAAGTTTTTCAAAAAGTCATCCCTGCGTTACAAAAAACTAATTTTACGAGGATGACTTTCGAAATCTCCTCTTGTGATTATTTCGTGTAACATATAAAAACTGTACAGAAATCTGGATATGTGAAACAGGATAATTTTTTGCAATATCTTTCATTAATTCGATTTTTAACAGGTAATTCATTAGTCTAAATGCCATCAAGACAAACA